CACTTAGAAGTAAAAAGATACCTGGGAGATATATATATAGTATATCTATATATATATATATATATATATTCGCCCCCTGTTGACATACTAGTAATTGCGTAACCTGGTTGTTAATCGATGGGCGGGTCGTGTTCCAGGGGAACTAGTGGGAAGGGGTGACCCAGGCAGGAGCTGAGGGATGGGAGAGCTCTCAGCCTGCTGACAGGAGTCAGGAGGCGTCTGCTCCTGTACACACCTGTGTAAAATATAAATAGGAAGAGCGTAGAGTTAACGTCATGGGCCAACTTCCAGGTAACTTGTTATTCTATAGAACATCTGAAGCTTTGGTAATTCTGATCTGTGAACTGGTCCACCTACCGGGGTTTAGAACCAGTTACTGGGCAGACCAGTCAACTGCTTCTCAAGAGACCAGACAAGACCAGACTGGTTAACCAGCTGGCCTCAGACCGGACCTGATCAACCAGTCTAGTTTGTAATCAGCAGATCTACTCGACGCTATCCCGTTTTAATCCTGGCACTCGGAACACCCACCTCCCACCTCCTCCCCCCCATCCCTCCCAACCCAACCCCCGTCCCACCCAATATGTAGGTCCCACCCACTCCCTACCTTCACCCACACACTCACCACCTCCCACACACACACTCACCACCTCCCACACACACACTCACCACCTCCCACACACACACTCACCACCTCCCACACACACACTCACCACCTCCCACACACACTCACCACCTCCCCCCCCCCCACACACACACTCACCACTCCCCCACACACTCCCACCTCCACCACACCCACACCACCCCACACCACTCACCACCTCCCACACACACACTCACCACCTCCCACACACACACTCACCACCTCCCACACACACACTCACCACCTCCCACACAACTACCTAACAGGAAGGAACCAGAGAGTTACGGTAAGGAGCCGGTCGGCCGAGCGGACAACACACTGGACTTGTGGTCCTGTGGTCTCGGGTTCGATCCCGGGCGCCGGTGAGAAACAATGGGCAGAGTTTCTTTCACCCTATGCCCCTGTTACCTAGCAGTAAAATAGGTACCTGGATGTTAGTCAGCTGTCACGGGCTGCTTCCTGGGGGCATGTCGAGGACCGGGCCGCGGGGACACTAAAGCCTCGAAATCATCTCAAGATAGCCTCAAGATAAGGGGTGAGAAGTCGGACTGGCGAACAGCAACGAGTGGAGTACCTCAAGGATCGGTGCTGGGACCAATTCTATTTCTAATATATGTTATCAATATGTTTACAGGAGTGAAGTCCTACATGTCGATGATCACTGATGATGCAAATTTCATGAGAAGAGTTGTGACAGATGAGGAGTGCATGATCCTCCAAGAGGACCTGATTAGGTTGCAGAGATGGTCAGAGAAATGGCTACTGGAGTTCAACACCAGCATATGTAAAGTTATGGAAATGGGACTAGGTGATAGGAGAACAAAGGGACAGTTCACAATGAAGGGGAACAGCCTACCTGTGACAACGCGTGAAAGAGACCTGGGGGTGGACGTAAAACCTAATCTATCTCCTGAGGCACATATAAATAGGATAACGACAGCAGCGTACTCTACACTGGCAAAAGTTAGAACATCATTCAGAAACCTAAGTAAGGAGGCATTTAGGGCGCTTTACACTGCCTACGTGAGGCCAGTCTTAGAGTATGCCGCGCCATCATGGAGCCCACATCTGAAGAAGTATATAAGGAAACTGGAGAAGGTTCAGAAGTTTGCAACGAGACTCGTTCCAGAGTTACGAGGGATGGGGTATGAGGAGCGCATGAAGGAACTGTGCCTTACGACACTAGAAAAAAGAAGAGGGGGGACATGATAGGAACGTATAAAATACTCAGAGGGATTGACAGAGTGGACATAGACGAAATGTTCACACGGAATAATAACAGAACGAGGGGACATGGGTGGAAGCTGGAAACTCAGATGAGTCACAGAGATGTTAGGAACTTTTCTTTTAGCGTGAGAGTAGTGGGAAAATGGAATGCACTTAAGGAGCAGGTTGTGGAAGCAAATACTATTCATAATTTTAAAATTGGGTATGATAGAGAAACAGGACAGGAGTCATTGCTGTAAACACCCGATGGCTCGAAAGGCGGGATCCAAGAGTCAATGCTCGATGCTGCAGACACAAATAGGTGAGTACACACTCACCACCTCCTACCCAAGCAGAGTCAAGCAGAGAGCCGTCATACAGTAGTATACCTGTAGGGCAGTATACCTGTAGGACAGTATACCTGTAGGCCAGTATACTTGTAGGGCAGTATACCTGTAGGCCAGTATACCTGTAGGGCAGTATACTTATACTCTTGTACTATAAAGTATACTCTAAACATACAGCGTTTTCCTAAGCAGCAGTAACGTACGCACCCAAGCAACCTACCTAACTTCTCGAGGCCAGTATTTAGCGGAAAACGCCAATTTTAAATGTGTGTTAATTTGTCCCAATACGTCGCATTCTTGACGGATCGGTCAATGTCCCAATACGTCGCATTCTTGACGGATCAGTCAATGTCCCAATACGTCGCATTCTTGACGGATCAGTCAATTTGTCCCAATACGGCGCATTGTTGACGGATCAGTCAGTTTCGTTCAGCAGAGATGGAATTTTGAGATGACTTTTCTTGTTTCTGAAACCGCAACGCTTTCTCTGTCTGCCTGCCTGCCTGCCTGCCTGCCTGTCTCTGTCTGTCTCTCTCTCTCCTGTCTCTCTCCTGTCTCTCGCTCTCTCTCCCTCCCTTTACCCGCTCATCCCCTTCTCCCCAACTTACCCCTACCTCACCCTACACGGAGGATGGTGGAGGGTGGTAGAGGTCGTCCACCGGTAACCAACCAACAATTACAACTCAATGAGGCAGCTTGTGCCCCCCCTCCCCCCCCCCTGGTGGTGGTCGCTCCCAGTAACACTCAGACAAGGAAGTGTGTGACAGGAATAGTGGGTGGAGAGGAGCATAAGGGGCTAGAACAAGGACTGAGGGGACGAGGAAGCCGACGAATCACAGGAGCAAGGGGAGGAGGAGGACTAGGAGGCAAGAGGATATAATTAAGGAACTAATTATAGCAATTAAGGAAGAGTTGGTTTGATTATGACACAGTTGAAGTAGGAAGATGCGCCCCCCCCCCCCACCACTCCCTTCTCCCCCACCCCCCCCCCACCTTCCCCCCTCTCACCTACCCCCCTTCTCACCATCCCCCCCACCTCTCATCACCATACCCCCCCTCCCCCCCTCTCACCATACCCCCCCTCCCCCATCCCCCCCTCCCACCTTCCCTTTGATTAAATTTTAAATATTTCTCAGGAGGTTCCAATGGGGGTGTGTTAATCTATGATAAGATCGTAATAACTTGTGTGTTGGCCAAACAGGTAAACATCTTGACCAGAGGATAAAACAACACATATATGGTCTAAGAACAGGTCAAGTGTCCAATGTATTATTTGTTCACTTAGGTGATTTTAATCGTTCAACTGACTCGGCTAATTCATTCTAAGTTGTGGAGTGTAAAAGAATTACCGCAAGAGATATTATTGAAGCTTCATTTATAAAATGTAGTGATTTACATCATATTAATTTCAGTCCAAGATCATATAAATTAGATAATTTTATAATTGGTAAGATTTATCATAGGTATAAACTTATGTAAAATAATAAGTTAATATCCATTTAATACCCCCCATTTAAAATCCATTTAATACCGCCCCATTTAATATCCATTTATTCATCTCACCTTCATGTCACCTCCATTAATTGTTATTTCACCTTATGGGTTTTTGGTCAGTTGTAGTTGGGTACATATAATCCCAAACTCTTATGTCATCTCTCTCATTACGGGCTCACCATAGCCCGTGCTACATGGACACTTGGTTCTGAGTAGCTAAATCTGAAACAACAACATTATGTCATCTCTTTTACGGGTTATTCACGCCCATGCCATCTCTTGGGTGGGTTAATCTTCATCAATCATTATGTTATCTGTAGTTCCTTGATACTGTGATGAAACACGATAACGTTCTCAATTTTCGTTTATTCTAGTGGAGACTTGGGCATAATTACCGAATCACCTGTTTTTTTGTGACCGCCCACTGTATGGGTATGGGGTCCACTACCGCCCACTAGATGGGTATAGGGTCCACTACCACCCACTGGATGGGTATGGGGTCCACTACCGTCCACTGGATGGGTATGGGGTCCACTACCACCCACTGGATGGGTATAGGGTCCACTACCACCCACTGGATGGGTATGGGGTCCACTACCGTCCACTGGATGGGTATGGGGTCCACTACCGCCCACTGGATGGGTATAGGGTCCACTACCGTCCACTGAATGGGTATGGGGTCCACTACCGCCCACTGGATGGGTATGGGGTCCACTACCGCCCACTAGATGGGTATAGGGTCCACTACCACCCACTGGATGGGTATGGGGTCCACTACCGTCCACTGGATGGGTATGGGGTCCACTACCGCCCACTGGATGGGTATGGGGTCCACTACCGCCCACTGGATGGGTATGGGGTCCATACCGTCCACTGGATGGGTCTTGGGTCCACTACCGCCCACTGGATGGGTATGGGGTCCACTACCGCCCACTGGATGGGTATGGGGTCCACTACCGTCCACTGGATGGGTATGGGGTCCACTACCGCCCACTGGATGGGTATGGGGTCCACTACCGCCCACTGGATGGGTATGAGTACATAATAAACCAACAAAACAGAAAATCCATCTACCCGAATCTCCGCCGATTTCCTTCATCGGTTTCCTGGCTTAACCTTTGTGGTTCCGACGCAGGAGACTATGGCCTCCGTCGCCCACAGCCAGGAGTGTGAGCCCTGCTGTAGGGCGTCTAGCTCCTGCCCGCGGCCGGCAACGCCTGCACAGGGAGCGTGCTGGCCTCCGGCAGTGACCACTGAGGGCGTCACCACACCGATGGGTTCCGGCCGTCAGGATACTTAATTGTTTGTAACTACGCCCACAACAGGAAGAAAAACCGCAACTGTCGCCGTATTTGACACGAGGGACCTAAGCTCTTTACGGGTCTTTGAGGGTCCCTGGGGGATCCCTGAAGGTCCGTGAGGGTCCCTGAGGCTCCCGGGAGGTCCCTCAGGGTCTCTGAGAGTCTCTGGGGGGTCCGGGGAGGTCCCTGAGGGTCCCTGGGGGGTACCTGAGGGTCCTGGGGGTCCCTGAGGGTCCCTGGGGAGTTCCTGAGGGTCCCGGGGGGTGCCTGAGGGTTCCGGGGTACCTGAGGGGCCCCTGAGGGTCCGCCCTGTTCTCTTGATTTGTTACAACTTTCAAACGCCGCCGTCCTAACATCGGCAGACACGTACGAACCCTCAGGGGCCCCCGGTGAACAGAATGGGCACGGGGGTTGCCCATTGGCACGTCCTAGAGTCATGAGGACGAGTGTGAGGGTCACCTTGCTCTATAAGGACGAGTGTGAGGGAGCACCTCACACTATAAGGACGAGTGTGAGGGGCACCTGGCACCTCACACTATAAGGATGAGTGTGAGTGGCACCTGGCACCTCACACTATAAGGACGAGTGTGAGGGGCACCTGGCACCTCACACTATAAGGACGAGTGTGAGGGGCACCTGGCACCTCACACTATAAGGACGAGTGTGAGGGGCACCTGGCACCTCACACTATAAGGACGAGTGTGAGGGGCACCTCACTCTATAAGGACGAGTGTGAGGGGCACCTGGCTCCTCACACTATAAGGACGAGTGTGAGGGGCACCTCACTCTATAAGGACGAGTGTGAGGGGCACCTCACTCTATAAGGACGAGTGTGAGGGGCACCTCACTCTATAAGGACGAGTGTGAGGGGCACATACTCTATAAGGCGAGTGTGAGGGGCACCTCACTCTATAAGGACGAGTGTGAGGGGCACCTCACTCTATAAGGACGAGTGTGAGGGGCACCTCACTCTATAAGGACGAGTGTGAGGGGCACCTCACTCTATAAGGACGAGTGTGAGGGGCACCTCGTTAACCTGTCCTCTTAAAAATTTCAATTTCAAATGAAAATAATAATCTGAATTTTATTTCTCGTCTTTAGGTTATTCTGAAGTTCTTATTTTCGATATTTTACTCAAATATAACAATCACGAGTTTTCAATTTGTTTACTTTTTTAACAATGTAATTCTTTTTCTTTACTCTGTAGTTCTGATATATTTCTTTGAGTTAAATGTCCGGTATATATTCGTTAATTGTAATTTTCATGACACTGAAATCGGCACTTTCTCCAATTAAGTCTTCATAATTATTGTAATATATGTGTATGTTCAGGTCTAGATTAGTCTAGGTGTTTTGTTCAATTGGTAAGTACATGTATGTGTTGTACGTGGATATGTGTTATACATGGGTATGCGCTTTACGTGGGTATGTGCTGAACATGGGTGAAGCACTTACAGAGCGGTACGGACGCCTCGATCACAGGAAGTGAGAGAAGCGCTTCGAAAAATTCCACCCGTCATCATCAGTTGGGTCGTCTGCAGCCCCCCCCCCCCCCCCGTCATAAACAATGACCAAATGCACGTTAATGCAGCCGTCATACCCGCTGTTCATGGCTGATGAACACCACCGCACGCGGCGACACACAGCTCATGACGTTCGAACTTTTATCAAATGACGCTTTGCCCCCTCGTCCTTCTTCTCTTCTTGTAAGTTTCTTCTCTTAGTTGTAAGTTTTGCAGCTTCGTCTGCAATGTCATTTCCTATTATTCCCACATGACTTGGCACCCAGTTAATAAGTACCCGACGACGGCCTTGTCGTTTGAGTGTTTGCATTAATGATATGACATTTGTGATCAGATGTATGTTATCACATATGTGTTCTTGTTGCAAGGTTTCAATGGCGGTTCTCGAATCTGTATGTATGATAACATGTTGTCGGTGTTGAGCAAGAGCATGTTCCAAAGCCTTTTGAATGGCTAGCATCTCTGTTTGTAAAGTCGAACACCCATTTGAGAGTCTCCAACTATTTACAGAGATTCCTGCTTTAACTGCAGCTCCGGTTTCTTGTCCCTGCTGGTCTACTGATCCATCTGTGAAGGAAGTGAAGCTGTTGGATGCCATGTTTGCTTCTATATGCATCTGTGCAATGTTACGTAGCAGATGAGGATTTGTCTGGTTCTTTTTTCCTTCAAGAACCAAAATCTTAAAGTCTGCTGGCGGAGATTCCCAAGGGGCTTGCATAACAAAGTCTGCATGTATTTCGTCGACACCCTTCTCAGTGACTGTGTTTGTTATATCGAATGTATTGATGGTGTTTATCGCACAATGGGTCCACTTGTTAATTGATAGGGTAAATAAAGACAGGCTATTTACCACAAGGGGACACAGGTGGAAATTGAGTACCCAAATGACCCACATAGATATTAGAAAGAACTTTTTCAGTGTCAGGGTAGTTAGTAAATGGAATGCATTAGGCAGTGATGTGGTGGAGGCAGACTCCATACACAGTTTCAAATGTAGATATTGTAGAGCCTAGTAGGCTCAAGAATCTGTACATCAATTGATTGATAGTTGAGAGGCGGGACCAAAGAGCCAGAGCTCAACCCCCGCAAGCACAAACAGGTGAGTACAACTAGGTGAGTACACACTAGCACAGTTACGGTCCTGACACGATTATGGCTATTGAGACGTGACTCTAAATAAATGAGCTGTGCTTGTACTGATCCGCAGCCACGTGTATGGCTCTCTCTGTTTGGCTGACGGATACTTAAACCTTTGTTTTGATTGGCGGACGTGTACACTCACAATGGTTGGCGCCAATATGTGCTCTCTGCGCTCATTGGTCGACGTCCACTGTAAACTTGACGTTCATTGGCTGATCTTTGTCGCAACGCGAGAGAAAGGGCTGGCCAGGTACCCAAATTTATTTTAATTGGTCGGGTCACATTCAACGGAAGGGAAGGGAACTATGAGGAGAAAGCGCTAAGCCATTACGACTATTTAGCACTTGGAAGAGGGTCAGGATAAGGATTTGGGATGGGACAGGGGGGGGGGAAGGAATGGTAACGAACCGAATCTAATTAAAAAAAATATTATATATAATTGTTTACGAGCAATTAGGGAGTAAATGTTGATAAGTTAATATCTAAATTTACGAATTATTTACAGCTGTTCAGGGTTATAATATAGTTAGGCTTTGTATGATGCTTCTTCAGTAGAATCTATAGGGAAAACGTTGCTGTGTCAAAGATTTGATTGGTTGGATTCAGTCTGAGAAAAAAAGGCCGATATACAATATATTATTTGTAGAGTTGAGATGCGTCATTGTACGGGTTCGAACCCTACAGGTGAGTTCATGCCAGCGGGCACAGAGGCGCCTTGTGGTGTGTGAACAACCTGCCCGCCTACAAAGAACGTCGCTTTTCGCACGTATGCGTTACTGAAGGCAAAACATTGTCGTACTAGAAAATTTCGCGGCTCGCGAAAGTGATGTACTGTCCCGTTTTCTGTTTTGGGTCGTCTGGTAGGTTAGGGTAAAGGCACTTTAACGTGACCGTTTTCGTGACGTTGGGAAACCGTACGAGGACTGACTGGGTTTTCTCCTCCTCCTCCTGAAAGGATCGTACACACATTGACACATAGAAAGAGAATTTGATACTGTCCATTTTATAATCCAGAAAAAAATATAGCTAAAAACCAAACTTAGGTATTCCTAGGCCTAGTGTAGCGCGCGCACACACACACACACACACACACACACACACACACACACACAGTAAATTCAACCCGAGTAAATGCAAAGTAATGAAACTAGGCAGTGGAAATAGGAGGCCAGACACAGGATACAGAATAGGAGATGAAGTACTTAATGAAACAACAGAGAGAAAGATCTAGGAGTTGATATCACACAAAACCTGTCTCCTGAAGCCCACGTAAAGAGAATAACGTCAGCGGCATATGCGAGGCTGGCTAACATCAGAACAGCCTTCAGGAACCTGTGTAAGGAATCATTCAGAATCTTGTACACCACATATGTAAGACCAATCTTGGAGTATGCGGTCCCCAGCATGGAACCCGTACCTTGTCAAGCACAAGACGAAGCTGGAAAAAGTCCAAAGGTATGCTACTAGACTAGTCCCAGAACTAAGAGGCATGAGTTATGAGGAAACGCTGCGGGAAATGCACCTTACGACACTGGAAGACAGAAGAGTAAGGGGGGGGGGGACATGATCACAACCTAAAAATCCTCAGGGGAATCGACCGGGTAAACAAGGATGAACTATTCAACACTGGAGGGGACGCGAACAAGGGGACACAGGTGGAAGCTGAGTACCCAAATGAGCCACAGAGACATTAGAAAGAACTTTTTCAGTGTCAGAGTAGTTAGTAAATGGAATGCACTAGGAAGTGATGTGGTGGAGGCTGACTCCATACACAGTTTCAAGTGTAGATATGATAGAGCCCAGTAGGCTCAGGAATCTGTACATCAGTTGATTGTTGATTGAGAGGCGGGACCAAAGAACCAGAGCTCAACCCCCGCAAACACAACTAGGTGAGTACACACACACACACACACACACACACACACACACACACACACACACACACACACACACACACACACACACACAGAATGCTGCCTAAGTCCTCTACATTATAACTTCTCATTCAACCATGACATAAAAACACTCTTTAGAAACCGCCAACTACAAATAATCATTTAAAAGCTACCATTTAGAAACCTCCAATAAGAAAAACTTACCTAGTAATTGCCCATCTTGAGGTTATCTTGAGATGATTTCGGGGCTTTTTTTAGTGTCCCCGCGGCCCGGTCCTCGACCAGGCCTCCACCCCCAGGAAGCAACCCGTGACAGCTGACTAACACCCAGGTACCTATTTTCTGCTAGATAATAGGGGCATAGGGTGAAAGAAACTCTGCCCATTGTTTCTCGCCGGCCCCCTGGGATCGAACCCAGGACCGCAGGATCGCAAGTCCAGCGTGCTGTCCGCTCGGCCGACCGGACTTTAAACCAGAAACGCTCACCTATGAATCACCACCTCTTAGAAATCACAGACTAAAACCCCTGACATAGAAACCATATTTTGAACCCCTTAACTAGAAGCATTAACAAAATCCTCTAACTAGAAACCCACACATAGAAGCTGTTCTTTTAGAAACCTCAAACTAGAAACCCTCACCCAGAAATTGGGGGTCCAGGAGCTTAAGGGGATGAGAGGCAGTGTACCACCTATTTGTACTCACATATTTGTGTCTGCAGAATGGAGCATTGACTCTTGGATCCCGCCTTTCGAGCATCGGTTGTTTACAGAAATGACTCCGGTCCTATTTCCCTGGCATTCCTAGTTTTAAAATTATGAATAGTATTTGTTTCCACAACCTGTTCCTTAAGTGCATTTAATATTTCCACTACTCTCAC